GGTGATATACATCCCATCTCTCTCTATTGAGTTGACCCTTGAACAACCTGGGGCTTAGGGATGCTGACCCCCTGCACAGTAGAAAATCCACAGATAGATTTTGACTCTACGTATTTATTGAGGGGAAAAATCTGTTTATAAGTGAACCGTGACGATCAATCTCTCTATTGATTGATTGATTTTAAGGAATTGATTAGTGTGTTTGTGGAGGCTGAAAAGTCCAGAATCTTCAGGGTAAGATGGTCCACTGGAGACCCAGGGAAGAGTTGATGTTGCAGCTCGAGTCTGAAGGTAGTCTGTTGCAGAATTCCTTTTTCTTTGGGGGAAGGGTGGTCTTTTTTCTGTTAAGGCCCTCGACCAATTGGATGAAGCCCACCAACATTATGGAGAATAGTCTTAGCCTTACTCAAAATCTAATTTAAATGCCAATCTCAACTAAAAAAATGCCTTCACACAAAAGTCTAGTATAATGGTTGACCAAATGTCTGAGTTCCATGGCCTAGACACGTTGCCACATACATTAAGCATCACAAGAGCTGAGGCCAAAATTATCCTAGAATTTGGGAAAACAGGGGGAAATAGTGGAAATAGGAGACCTGAATGAGAGTCCTTGGTCTGCTGCTTATCTTTATCACGACTTTGTCTCTTGGTGCTCCTATGCTCCCATCTGAATAAAAGGGGAAAGATATACCCCCTAAAACACTTTCCGAAGTGGATATTTTATAATGAAGATGGCTTTCAAAATGAATGAATGAGTGAATGGACTGACCAGTCATGAAGCTGAAGGGGGAGAGAGAAGGTGAGCACTTATACCTTCTGGACGCTCTGTGAGACAATTTATGCACATAATGACCTTCAATCCTCCAGTGACCCCGCAGACATGTACAGAGGAGGAGACCCAAGGGCTGTGAAAGAGAAGGGGGTGACTCAAGGTTACACAGTGGCAGAGTTTACATTGGAGCCCTTTTTACTTGCACTGGACAGTATGGCCAACTAATGCCTTGGCAAAGACACTCGGGGGACACCTTCCTTTGTTTCTTCCTTCGTCGTCTCCTGCCTTCTCTGTGCCCCCTCCTGTCCTCCCTGTCCCTCCCTGTCTTCTCTCTCCCAGAGTCTTCCTGCCCTGTCCTCTCCTCTCCACGGGTCCATACCTCTTCCTGCCCTATCCCCTGCCCTGCGTTATCCAACACGGTTTTACTTTCCGTTCTTGCCTTCCCTTCCTCCGCTCTCCTCCCTCTTCCTCTCCTCTGCTTTCTCTCTCTCTCTCTCTCCCCCTCTCTGTCCCTCTCTCGTGGCTAGGGGACCAGGACCAGGCCTTCTCTGCTCAGGCCCCAGTGGTTCATTCTCATTAAACTTGACAATCTCTCATATGTCAATTAGAGAGAGGCGGCTCCCCCACTCCCTCCCTCCCCCCTCCCGGGCCTGCCGCGATGCTCAGATCGAGCACCATCTGTTGCATTCAGCCCGGCGGCGGGGCGCGCGTTCTGCCGCTCTGGGGAGGCAGAGCTCCGCGGGTACCAGGAGGTAATGTGGCTTGTTTGGACAACTTGATACATTGATATTGATAGAGCTACCGAATGGGATTGGGAGGCTGGGGCGGGAGGGAGGATGGCACACAGGAGGAGATAGGCCATGGAGGGCTTTGCACAAGCGCTTCCCCCTCTCAGCCTGTCTGGGCTGCTGGCACTGTCGCCGAGGTAAGAGCAGCCAAACAGATGGAAGGGATTTGCTCTAGTCGGGACCAGAAAGCCCCGCAGCTCAGGGGAGCAAACCTTCCCTCTCCATGCGTCTTCGTATTCCCCCCCACCGCCAGTCACATCTGCATCAGCTTGGGAGAAAGGAAAGCAGAAATAACAGGACTGGGAGAAGCTGACCTTCAGGATTTGCCGAAGGTCAGAGCCATGATGAAAAGGGTTGAGGTATCATCAGTCCAGGTTCTAGATGGACGAAGAAAGCACCTTTACATGGGGTTTTTAGGAAAAGTTCAGTGAAGCGACTATTGATAGAGGTATGTGCAGAGTGAAAAAGATCGACCTGGGGCATCGAGGAAACGGGGACAAGATTATCAGGAAACCGCTTCCCACCCCTAGCACTGCGGAGGGGCGGGGACAGGAAAGGGTTTTACTGGAGCCTGTGAGAACGGGGTCTGTGGAAAGGGGGCAGAAGCTGTGATGGTGGAGGGTCCCTGTCTTTATCAGAAATAGGACACAGACAGGAAAGGGCCCCAGGCTGTCCTCTCACATCCTGCAGAGCATCCCGCTGGGCACACCCAACTGGTAGCCAGCAAAGAAGGAGCCATGGAGCACCCAGAGGGGGGTCTGCGTCGATCAGCTCATTGATATTAGCCTTCCTGTCCATACAGTGGGCATCAAGAGGGGTTTTTTTGTTGTTAGTTTTTCACCATGGTACCTTGTATTGGGCTGCATGTCTGTGTCTCCCACAAATTTATACGTTGAAGCCTTTACCTCCAGCGTGACTGTGCCTTCGTCTGCCTGGGCTGCCACACCAACACGCCGCGGCTGGTTAGCGTAAACAACAGGGTGGATGCATTTTCTCACAGTTCTAGAGGCCAGAAGTCCAGCGTGGGTGGGTTCTGGCTTTTAGACAGCCGTCTCCTTACCCTGTGCTCCCATGCATGGCCTTTCCTTGGTGTGTACAACCGAGGGAGTTTCTCTTCCTCTTTTTCTAAAGACATGAACCCTATAGTTAGGACCCCACCTGTATGACCTCATTTAATTTTAATTATCTTCTAAACACCCTATCTCCAAACACACGTCACGTTGGGGGTTAAGGCTCCAAGCCATGAAATTTGGGGATACATAGTTCAATACACAGCAGGCTGTGTACTAAGTTACTCTAGATTTTTGACCACCGAATAGCATAACTCTTACAACTTTGGGCAAGTTACTCTGCTATCTGGGTGTAAAGCATCAGGATTGGGCCTGACAGTGCTTGTCAGAACTGGACTGTAGCCGCTCACTGGAGGGCTCTGCGTCACAGGCTTGGAGGAGGGTCCCCAGGATTGTGATCTTGCTCACCTTTATGTAGACTTGACCGAGGTTATCTGGGAGAGAGAGGGCAAGACAGGCAGGCAAGGAAGTGATAATGCCACCCCATGGCTTGTTTGTATTGACATTTGTCTTTTCCATAGCAAACATGATTCTGCACTGTCTCCCCAAAGATGGGGCTTCTCGCAGAGCCAATGCCCAGACCTGCCTTCTGGGTATGAGCAGCCCTGCAGACACACTGTCTCAGCTGATGCAATTTCCTGGGGAAATAGGAGCTCCTTAGACATCGGTGTTGGGATGCTCAGAAGCCTTTCTTGACCAGTCTAGTGAAACCCCTTCAAAGAAACAGAAACTTTTGGCTTGTCCCATCTCTTGGCATCAGACAGCAAGTAGCCCCAACTGGAGAAATTTCCTAGGTTCTGAAGGCATAGATGGAGGGAGGGCCGCGCTTGAAGATTTCAAAGTCAGGCCTCTCTTTGGGGATGTCTCAGAACAAAGGCACTGAGGCCACTAAGCCATGTTCCTTCTCTTCTTTCTCCTTTCCTCTCCTTGCCTTTTATGTGACCTCTCTCCTTCCTTTTCAAGCTTTTCTGGTGTTTTTCCTTTTATCTTCTTTTTTTCTCTCCCTGACTGACCTCACTTTTTCCATTCTCTGCAACTTTCTACTATTTTCAGTTCTGAAGTTTTGTGGAAATGTGGCTGCTGACAAACCATTGGACAGTATTGATACAAATGGAACATTGGACTAGGAGTTGGAAGGCTGGACTTTGCCACATGCAAGCTTGGAGTGAGTTGTATGCCTCATTGCAGGGGGGCCTTAATTTTCTTACGTATATATACTGAAGTAAAATTGGGATATCGTACCAAGTGATCTATATATCACGATACCAGAGTTTTGTCTCCCAGAATGTTGTTTGACCCATTCTGCTGTTCACCTTTAGTGCCACTGTTTGGGTTCAAGCCACCATTGCCTCTGGCTACTGCAAAAGCCTCTGTACTAGCCTCTCTCGTCGCCTCTGCTCGGATTGTCCATACTTTTGTTTACAACTTTTAACAAAGGGACTTAACTTGAACATGCCAATTTTCTGTTTAATACCTTTCAGTGTTGAACTTTAGCCATTAGGATACAATCCATACTCCTGAGCGCGACTTACAGGGTGATCTGACCTCTCCAGCCAGCCTCTTTGCATCTCCTCTTTGCATGCTCTGTTCCAGCTGCACTGAACTCCTTTTCATCTCTCAGGCACCATGCTCTCTGTGGCTTCAGATACTTGCACATGCCTTTCCTTCTACCCAAGGCGCTCTTATCCCAAATCTGTTTTAGTAACCACACCCTGATCCTACTTCCTTTGCTCATTCTCACTCATTCTTAAAATTGCAGTGAAGATGTTGCCTCCTCCAGGAAGCCTGCCTTGACTCCCAGAATGGGAGAGATGACCCTTCTTGGTGCTCCTCTCACTCTCTGTACTTCCCTGACAGAGGTTTGGCACAATACTACCGAGTTCTGCATTCCTTGAATCATGCGTTGTGTCTGACTTTTCACCACCATATCACAAGGGTTGGAGGAAGTGCCTGGAACATAATAGGTATTCAAGAAATAAGTGCGGCGCCTGACCGGCATGGCTCAGTGGTTGAGCATCTTCCTAGGATCCAGGAGATCATGGTTCGATTCCCGGTCAGGGCACATGCCCGGGTTGTGGGCTCGATCCCCAGTACGGGCCATGCAGGAGGCAGCCAGCCGATCAATGACTCTCATCATTGATGTATCTCTCTCTCTCCCTCTCCTTTCCTCTCTCTGAAATCAATACAGATACATTTTAAAAAGAAAAGTGAGTGCGTAAGCCAGTACATTCATCTGTACTGGCACCTGCGGCTTCTGTCTCATCCCTGGGTCAGGGAGGGAACTCCAGGGACTCCGGGGGGCCAGGCCCAGTCCTCCAGGGACTGGGGGTGGATCAAGCCCTAACCTCAGCCCCATTGCCCACCCTGTAGCAGCAGCTGAGGCGACGCAGGAGACAGTGGAGTCCCTGATGCAGAAGTTCAAGGAGAGTTTCCGCGCTAACACGCCCATCGAGATCGCTCAGCTGCAGCCAGCGCCGCGCAGCGCCTCGGCCGGGAAGCGGAAGCGGAGGAGCAAGTCCCGAGGTAGGCTCTGCCACCACCTCCTGCCAGGGCGTCGCGGGGCCCGGGCTCGGCTGGCACCAGAAGGAGCCGGAGCCCGGCCCCCTTCCCTGCTTCCCTGTGCTCATGGGACTCGTGCCACTGTCTCCCTGATGGATCGTCTCGGCGGAGGCCTTGGACACTGTGCCTGTGCCCCTGGGTGTCGAGCTAAGGTTTCTGAGCCCAGCCGCCTGTCTGCGAATGGGGATGTGTCATCCGCCTTTCAGTGGTTGAGAAGATTTGCAGTACTCTATGGAAAGTGCCCATCCCGGGGCCTGAGCAGGGCTGATGCTCTTTCAGTTGAAGCTGGTGTCATTTTGGGGATGGCAAGAGAGGCAGAATGTTCTCATGCGGGGACCCTCAGGCTGGGATCCCCAGTAAGGTTCCAGCTCATTCTTTCACAGCCTGAAGAGTGTGGTGGTCAAGGGCAGGAGCTCTGTAAATTACTCTGAGCCGGATTCAATTTGTGTTCACATTTGAGTTTGCATTTGCATTTCTGTTCAAATTCAAATTAACCAGCAGTGTCACCTTGGCGGGTCACTCTGCTCCTTCAAGCTATGTGCCCAGCTCACCAGGTTGCTGTAACATCTTAGCACACAGCCCACTGTGCAATGGAAAGTAGATCTTCCCTCCCCCTCCACTGCCTCCTCCCCTTCAGTCCTCCTGGTCTCACCACCTCTTTTTTGTCCCGCTCCTCCCCGTTCCCCCTCCCTCCTCCTTCCTTTCTCCTGTGACCCTCTGTGTGACTTTGTGGATGGGACAGATCCCTTCAGCACTGCCCGATTCCCAAATCTCATCTCATTTCTTTCAGTCCACGCAGTAGCCTCCAGCTGCTCTCTCCTCTCTGCCTCTCACTTCTCCAGTTCCTTTTGACTTGGCTCTGATTACGTCACTGCTCCTCTCTCCCGGCTTCAGGGGTTGTCCAGCCCCTTCAGAAGTGCTCAGGCTTATGAAGAGGACCGTCAGGGCCTCCGCAGAGCTCTGATCTCTCTGCCGTCTCTTCTAAATCCATCTTTTCCACTCACTCCCATGTTCTTTTCCATACCATTCGCTCGGCCCCAGATCTCCCTGTCTGGACCCTGTGAATAATTGTTGTCACCTAGTGACACTTATTCCAAGCAGCAGGCTAAATGCTGTATATATCTTCGCTCATTTGCTCCTCAGCAACCGGAAGAAGCAGGTACAATGGCCCTGGCCAGTGTGGCTCGGTTGGTTGGGCATTGTGCTGTGCATTGGGAGGGCTCCAGTTTGATTCCTGGTCAAGGGCACATGCCCAGGTTACGGGCTCGATCCTCGGCGGGGCACGTGCAGGAGGCAGCCGATCGATATTATGCTCTCACACTGATGTTTCTCTCTCTTCTCTCCCTCCCTCTCTAAAAATCAATAAATTATTCTTTCTTTTTTAAAGAAGCAGATACAATGATAATTTCCATTTTACAGATGGTATCACTAAGGCCCAGATGGCTCAATAACCTGGCCAGAGGGATACCCTGGTAAGCACTAGAGCCAGGAAGAATTAAGCAGTCTGAGTTCCAGACTTTTTAATGAGGCCACTGTGTTCTATGCTAGCGAAGCCCTACTGTCTTTCCAAATTTCACTTGAATGGCACATTTCCATGAAGACATCACTAATGGTCACAGTCAGAAGTCACTCTGAATTCTCGCCTGCGTGACTTCTCCAGTATCTTTATACATGTGTTAAACACTGATTTCATGTTTTAGTAATATGCTTTTCTTTTGTATGGCTCTCTCCTTAGCTAGGCAGAGAGTTCTTTGAAAGCGGGAGTTATCTTATGGTTTGATTCACCTTCCCATTTCTGGGCCTAAATCAGTGCCTGGACACACGGTAGACACTGGCTATTTGTTGAGAGAATGTCTATGTCTTAATCCTGTGAAGTGCTGTATCCATTGAAAAATCAAAATCTGCACATTATGCTGAGGTCTTAAATCAAGGCAGAAGTTGATGGTGAGGTCCCTTTTTGGAACTCATGTGGCCAACCCCAGGTTGAACCATTTGAGTGATAAAGAACAGTTTCTTTGAGGTCAGCAATGTCTGGGTGCTAACCCCAGCCCAGTCAGGTTCCACTTGCATGGTTTTAGAAGAGTCATGGGAGGCGTCCGAGCCTCAGTTTCCTCTCCTGTAGAATGGGGATGTGAATCCCTACATCAGAGCATTGCTGTAAAAAATTTGATTAAATGATGAGTGTAGACCACCTTGGAATGCTCAGCTAATGTTTGTCAGGAACTGAATAAATGCCATCATTTTATTTGTTCTGGGTGGACATTCAGGGTCACTTGTAATTTTGCTCAGCCATACCTATCCATCTTTCTTCCTCCACCATTCACCAAGAATCACCCTCCTTTATCTCTCCCGAAACAGCTCCCATAAATACACTTGATTCCAACTCCCTCTTCTTTATTGGCCTGAATTTGTTTTCTTAATGTCATATTCTAAACACTTTTTATGTCACCGAATTCTCCCCTCAAAAGTTTCCTTTTATGCACCACAGCTGTCTTAACGAGGCCCCTATTATTCAGCATCTGGGCTCTTTCTAATAGTTCACCATCATAAACAGTAACACATGGAACATTTTTTCTTTTTGGCATAAAACTTGGCCTTTACTTTGGAATCTGTTTCCTTCTCTTAGAGCAGAATTTCAGAATCAGATTATTAAAGAAAATCTGTTGTTTGACTTAGACTCTAATTAGATATCAAGTTATTTTAATTTACAAGTTAAATGGGGCCTAAGAAAATGCAAGAAGAAATTCATTTTCCCGCTAAATGCATCTGCGATCTGTCCTCTCTACCTTTGTCACCATTATGTCCGCTGCCACCTCTCAACTCCCACTTGCAACTGTACCCTCCTTGAGATGCAGTCTCCCTGAAGCAGCCAGAGTAACCTTTTCAGACGCATGCACCAGATAAGGTTACTTTTCTGTTTAAAACCATTCCCTGGTTTCCCTTTATCCTTAGAAGACAAGCCGAACCCCTGGCCCTGGCTTCAGACCCTGTTCCATCCGGGTCTGGCTCCTGCCCTCTTCACTCGATTGGCATTGCCTTTGCTTCAGCCACAAGGACTTCCTTCCTGTTGCAAGAACACAGCAAATGGTTCTCCGCTTTGCAGTCTGAGAACTGCCTGTCCCTTCTCCTTCCCAGGCCTCTTCTCGCACCCCAGCTGCTCTCCTGGCTGCCCGGCCCCTTCTCACCTTCTAGCTCTCAACTCCAATGTTAAGTCCTCAGAACTGTCTTCCATGCCCACCCCAGCCGACGGTCCCCTCCTCTCCATGCTCAGCCTGCTGCTGTTACACCCCCCTTTTGTACTTCTTCCATAATATTAGGAACTAAAATTATTTTTGTTTGCTTGTTTACTGTTTTCCTCTCTAAAATATGTTTCATATTCTTAAACCAAATGCAGAAAAAGTGTCTAATGAACATTTGTTGAATAAATGAGTGTATTAACATCAAAGATCATTGGAAAGTGGCCCAGTTTTATAACTTTCAAGTGGATGCTTAAGAGGGATCCAGGATAAACCAAAGCCTCCTGGTGCCGACCTCCAGGGAGCCCTGTTTCTCCTAGAAACAGACTCACTGACGCATAGTGGATTAAATGTGTTTAAGAGGATGCTGTTAAAACAATTTTTAAAATGGCTTAATAACATTGAGCTTGGGAGTTTACTGCCAGGTTGGGTAAGGTGTTTGCAACAGAGTCCAAGAAGAGTAGGCACCAGCCCTGCAATCCGCAGCTCACACACCCCCACCAAGGGTCCTCAAGGTTTTCTTGGACAAAGCAACTTCATGGTTAATAAAAGTTTTGGGGATTTGCACATGCCCTCTTTCTCTTGGGAATTTCCCAATGTACCTTAGACTCTTGAAGACCCTGGGAAGTCCTTTACTATGGAGAGCTGGATTTCTTTGTTTACCTCAATGTCTGCAAAACCATCCTCACCCCAGACTATCCTCCCTGGCCCCTACCCCCGGAACATTTATTAGCATCTTGAAGAACAGAAGCAAACATAGAAACACAAATTTGGAAGTGCTCTGTTAGCCCACTGATCATCAAAAATCCCAAATATGGTGTCCTATATCCTCAGTCTTTGTTTTAAAAAAAATATTTTTTATTGATTTCAGAGAGTGGAAGGGAGAGGGAGAGAGAGATAGAAACATCAGTGATGAGAGAGTCATTGATCAGCTGCTTCCTGCACGCCTCCCACTGGCGATCAAGCCCGCAACCTGAGCAGGTGCCCTGACCAGGAATTGAGCCTCGATCTCCTGGATCCTAGGTCAATGCTCAGCCGCTGAGCCATGCGGGCTGGGCTAAATCCTCAGTCTTTTACTGTCTCTCTCCCCTTCCTGCCACTGAGGTGGCTGTGGGCCTTCTGGCCCAGAGCGGGAGCACCTGGCCTCTCTTGGCTTCATTAGGCCTCGTGCCCAGCCCGTGGTGCCCAGAGGTAAGCAGCAGAATGAGTAGCGGAAAGCTGTTGTCATGGAATTAAACACGTGGCTGAAGGCGGCTCCAGTGTGTTCTTGTAGCTATGGCTTCCTCCCGAGGGGCCTGGTGGATGCAAAACGCATCATCCTTAGGCAGACAGGAAGGCCGTGGAGGACTTGGCGGCTGCCTTTGTCTTCGCGGTGGGGTTTTATGGGGCAGCTGTTGGGTAGCCACTCCCCTGAGTCCATGAGCACTGTAAAGGAGACCTTGACTTTCAGATAAAACAGGGTAAGGCTTCCTGGGATGTGAGGATGGGATTCCTGAGGTTCGATGGTCTTTAAAAGCAAGAATTTGTATTTGAAATTCAGTTCAACCATTGGCTAATGGAATGATCTTAAGCAAAAGGAGCTTTGTTTAGCTTCATTTTCTCATCTGTAAAATACCAAAATCATGTGTAGGTTGTGAGAGAATGCCTGCAAAATGTGTGGTCCAGTGTCTGGCACACAGCTGACCCTCAGTAAAGAGAAGCTAATTTTCTGGTTGTCGTCAAGGTCCC